ATTTCTCTTTTGCATTACCTTGGTGCTCAACTCCCAGCCTTAGCTAACTTGGCCGACCAGCTCACTTTGGCTATTGGTAGGGCAGGCCCTGTCAATGGGCACATATGGACTACCAATGATTTCGGTACCTGACACTTGACTATGTGTTGGGAACACATGGGTCTGGAAGATTTCCCCTCGGTTTCTCCATCTGGCCCCCACAGGAGTGAGAACCAGTCTGCAAGTACAGAAGGTTGCACTCTTAGCTTTCCCCATAACAGTGTAATTGAGTGGGAAACTACAAGAAAAAAAAATCCACACTTTATTCAAAATAAGGAAATGCCAGCCTTTTCTTCTGGCTATATGGAGTCAGCAGGAAATAGAACTAACCTAACCACATTCCCCCAGAAGAATGCACTATACTCACTTTTATTCGGAGAAAAGTCCCACTGAGGGTCTGCACTCTTGTAAATATGTTTAGGATTAGAATCACCCCCATTAAATGCAATAGCCAGAGTCTTGTTGGTATTGCAATGTGAAGTAAAAGTCTCGAAAATAATAGTCATGATCTTTTCAGCTGTCTGTTGTGTGCTCTGACAAGCCTGGTTTGCACAACTGGATGCTCAGGTGCATGACAGGTGGCTGGCAAAATACAAACCCCGTTTGCATGACTGGCCTGAGGGGCATAGCATTTTGGCCACTTGCTCAGAGCGTAGAAATATAATTCCCACATACTCCCAGTTAAAACAGCATAATAGTCCAAACCCTAACCCTCCTAAGCTTTCTCCTTAGCCTTGTGTAGAAAAGTAGGGGATTGAATAGTTGGGGGTGGGGGACCCAATTTTTCATGGAAAATCTTCACTTTTGAAAGATGTCTTGATATATCACAAATTACAGCAGCTCAGCTATTCACCAGCTGCTGTGCAGGATATTTACCAGGTGCTGAACAAAGATTTTGCAACTCTTACTGTAAAATGTAAGGCGAAGGTGCATCATACAAGTACAGCTAAACAGCTGACGCATGCAGCACATGACTGGTAGTAGCTGAAGATCTGAAACTGATTTCACTGAATCATCCAATGTGAGCAGTATTTTGTACTGATGCACGGTAGAACGTCCACCCCTCCAAGTACAACTGGGAAGCTTATTTCACGTGCTGGACAGCTTCCTGATTTCATACAGGCTGACAAGCAGCACTGAAAGCATAGAAGGGCTGAGGGTGGTGGCCTGCAAGTGAGCCCAACTCCCCCAAAATGAATTAAGGGCCATGCAATGTATATAGCTGATGTAACTCATAGGTAGACCTGTTTGCACGCAGTGACCATCAGAAGGCTTTTTTGGCGGGGCCGATTTTACAAAAAGGGTTGTGTGAACCTCGCTGTCCTCATTTCCACACAGGGGCCACCGTGGGTTGTTTGCGTGCGTCCCCCCCCCATGCTTCCAAAGCATCCCTTTTTTTTCATTCCTCCACGATTCCTCAAAACTGAAGGCGTGTGAAACACACGTGTGCAGTTTTGAAGCATAACGCGCGCGAGAGACCCACACGCGTGTTGTGTAGGTCGTCTGCATTTGAAAAGCGCTGGGAATAACGAAAGGGCAGGGATTTGCACACCCGTCAGTGGGGGAAGGGTCCGTTCCGCGTTCTGTCGCCAGGGCAGGATGGAACCCAGCCGGGGATGGGGGTGGGTGAGGGAACAGGGGGCAGAGTGGCCCCAGTGCGCCTCGTCTTCCTGCGGAGGCTCACTTCCTGGTTTTCTGCCCACGTGACGGCCAGCCGCCCGCCCGCCTGCCCGGAAGAAGGGGGCCACGAACCCAGCCGGGGATGGGGGTGGGTGAGGGAACAGGGGGCAGAGTGGCCCCAGTGCGCCTCGTATTCCTGCGGAGGCTCACTTCCTGGTTTTCTGCCCACGTGACGGCCACCCGCCCGGAAGAAGGGGGCCAGGCGGCGCGCGCGAGAGGGGCGGAGACGACCCAAAAGGGGCGGGGCCCGCCTCCCGTCTGTCACCAACCGCCGATCCTCCCAGCCAGTCGAGGCGGGAAGAGTAGGAGGTGGAGGAGGAGGAGCCAGAGGTAGAGCCGGGGAGTCCTTGTAGGAGGAAGAGCCCGCAGGAGCCCGGCGCGTGGGCGAGCCCGGCCGTGGGGGACAGGCGAGCAAGCGCTGAAGCGGGAGGAGGCGGGGCCGGAATTAGAGGAGGAGGAGGAGGAGGCGGGGCCATGGGAGGAGCCAGAGGTGGAGTCCGGAGGAGGAGGAGGAGCCTGCAGGAGCCCGCGGATGGGCGAGCTCGGAAGCGCTGAAGGAAGGGGAGGCGGAGCGCGCCGAGGAAGAGGAGGAGTCAGAGGCGGGGCCTGAGACCTCAAGAAGAGAAGGAGGAGGAGCCTGCAGGATCCAGAGGGTGGGCGATCGAGGGAGGGAGAGGAGGCAGTGCGCGCCCAGGAGGAGGAGCAGGGGGCGGGGCCCGAGCCCTCAGAGGAGGAGGGGGAGGAGCCTGCAGGAGCCCAGCGCGTGGGCGAGCCCGGCCGCGGGCGCGAGCGAGGAAGCGCTCAAGCGAGAGGAGGCAGCGCGCGTCGAGGAGGAGGAGGAGGAGGAGGAGGAAGAGGCGGCCGCCGCCGCCGCAGCAGCTGCAGCACCGGCCAGAGCCTCAGCGGGGACCTTCACGGCCCCGCAGCCGCCAACGGCTCCTGCGACCGCCGCCATCCCCCAGCCTTATTCCCGTGCCCACCAAAAGCGGCAGCCCCAGCGGCCCCGGGATTACCGCCAGCACGGGAGGCGTCCTCCGCTCGGCTCTTCTCTCCCTTTTCTTCTTCTTCTCCCTCCATCCCCCCCGATTCCCGATCGGGGGGGAAGCGCCGCAAGAGAGGGGGCTGCCCGAGCAAGTTAGTAGCTCCAGGAGGAGGAGGAGGAGGAGGAATTGCGCGCTCTGTGTGTGTGTGGCGGCGGCGGCCGTGTGTTATGTGGAGGGAGGGAGGAAAAAACAAGCAGCGGAGAAAAGCCTCTTTTCTCTCTTTTTGGCGCAGATCGGGTGTGTGTGTGTGTGGTGGGGAGGTGATGTTTCCCCCTTCTCAGTTTCTGAGGAGAAGCTTTTGGACAGGGAGGGGCAGCTTTCTTTAAAAATTAAAGAGAGAGAGAGTCTCTTTTCTCCTTAGTTTCT